GATCACTTTCCACGTTTTTCTATGATTTCTGTCAGAACTGTACTTGTTTGTTCTGGGGCCTTGTTGCAGTATTTTGTGGGAGTCAACACTTATTATTGAAATTTTGCTTAGCTAGCTATTGTTTTAGTGGCAGTTTCAGGTGGGTGAGGCTTGCGAAACAGGAGGAGGGCACTCCGCTGATGCTACATTATCGGGAAAAATAAAAAGGAAGGAAAAGAATCATTGGTCTCTCACATTTGGGCCCTTTTCCTCCTTCTTTGTGTTGAACGGAAGAAGAAATGGGGTTTGGTTATTTATTAGCCCTAATTGCAAAAACAGATGGTCGTGTAATTTCTATTGATTCCTTGGAAGTGGATTTGGCCTTATTTCTGTTGATTTTGCTTTGCCTTCATGCTTGCTTTTTTCAGCATATAATTAACATATATAGTCTCAAGACTTAAACAAGTATTTTAAAATCTATAATTTTAAATACGTGTGTGTATGCACCTGTGTTGTCTGTATTGATAAAAGATGATTCATAGATTCGAAAGAGAATTATACGAAAGTCCTTTCGACTTAAGATTCGTTCACCCTCATCCACCTCTCTAATCCAAAGTGGAAGATGGTCAACGATGCAACTATGGTCTGATATGGTTTGAGCAAACCTGGCTAACAAAGTCACTATGAAGAGAAAATTTTTTCTTTTTTCGGTCACTATTCCTCCCTATCCATCATTGTCGCTGGAATCACCCCGTTCACCTCCGAAAGCATTGCTGGAATCATCATTGGTGCCCAAGCCAATTATTCTTTTGATTAAACTACGTACCTATTGAAAACCGAAAACTACGCGGGAAATGTTACATAACCAGCTTGAAGTGACTGGGCAAATTACTTGAAGCAAGGTAATGGCCATTTATACTTAGAAATTAAGCAGATGAGAGGTAATGATAGATACCAATTGTAATTTTTCTTCTATAAATTATGGGAACATTGTAACTGACAATGAAGGTCCAGCAGAAATAACTGCAGTCTTCTTTAAAATATATATATATATATATTTATATCTATTACTTCCTCAACTTTCAATTAACATTAAAATCGAACTAATCTAAATGATTAGAAATATCAGTACCCTGACTCATAAGTTCATGTAATTTTCTTTTATCATTATTTTATATTATAAGCTTCTTCTTGTTGGTCATATATAAAATTACATATATTATCATTTATTTCTTTTACATTGTAACTGAAAACGACGATCAAGTAGAGATCAGTGTAGTTTTCTTTAAAAAAAATTCTTTGTATTTTGATAGACTATCATCCATCTACATAAAATATTATATGAAGGAGTGAATTTGTTTTTGTGGTAAAATATAGAAAGAGAGGGAATGAGGCATAAATAGGGGTTTCCATGTATAGACCGGGTTTGAATCGTGTTTTGCTGCGATTATACCGCACTCACCACTCACTCTCTGTTAACTCCCTCCCCCCTCTTCTTCATCCTATCATTTCATTATACAATCTCATTTCTGATTCAGTTCTCTATCCCTACCCCCGCCCTGATCCTCCGTCTGTGTGTCGGCCATGGTTCTGTCGAAGACAGCTTCTGAGACGGACGCCTCCGTCCACTCGACGTTCGCGTCGCGATACGTGAGAGCGGCGTTGCCAAGGTTCAAGATGGCGGAGCATTCGATCCCCAAGGAGGCGGCGTACCAGATCATCAACGACGAGCTCATGCTGGACGGTAATCCCAGGCTCAACCTCGCCTCCTTCGTCACCACCTGGATGGAGCCTGAGTGCGACAAGCTCATCATGTCCGCCATCAACAAGAATTACGTCGACATGGATGAGTATCCAGTCACCACGGAGCTCCAGGCACCTCCCTTCTTCCTTCTCACTTTTCACTGCTCAGTTGACATGTACTAGCAGTGTTGAGTTGCTGAGGTTTGTTTGATGTTGCAGAATCGGTGTGTGAACATGATAGCCCATCTTTTCAATGCACCGCTTCAAGATTCAGAAACTGCGGTGGGTGTTGGCACAGTTGGCTCATCGGAGGCCATCATGTTGGCTGGCTTGGCTTTCAAAAGAAAGTGGCAGAACAGAAGAAAAGCAGAGGGCAAGCCAATCGACAAACCCAATATTGTCACTGGTGCTAATGTTCAGGTCTGTTCATACATTTTGATGGATTTACATGCAAGTCTTTCAAGGCATTGATGATCAGGTTCAGTAATCTCATGTTCATCATATGTTCGTGCGAAAGGTTTGCTGGGAGAAATTCGCGAGGTACTTTGAGGTGGAGCTGAAAGAGGTGAAGCTGAGGGAAGATTACTTCGTAATGGATCCTGAGAAGGCAGTGGAAATGGTGGATGAGAACACCATCTGTGTTGCTGCTATCCTTGGTTCCACCCTCAATGGAGAATTCGAAGATGTCAAACGCTTAAATGATCTCCTCATTGAGAAGAATAACGAAACTGGGTATTCCTCTTTCCCGTTTGTTACACCTTGAATGTCTTCTTTCAGAAACGTCTTTGGCAACAGCTAAAGCTACGATGGATTTAAACACCCAAATTATCAGATACATCTATTTAATGCATGAATCAGATCCATAAACCCAAAAGATCAATCCTATATCAATTCTTAGAAATCAGAGATGACAGCTTATACCTGAATCCCTTTGCTTTGCATCAGTTTTTAAATTCACAATCTGGTGTTTTTTCCAGATTGTTACCACAGTCCCTATTTATAATTATACACTTGGGTTCGTAATATTTACAATTTGGTCCCTCAACAAATTCTAAATATCTTTATCAATATCAATCCGGTCTCTTCACATTACTTCTATTACAATTATACCCTTGAACTTTAAAAATTCAAGGGAAAATTTCGTTCAAGGATCGCAGTACAGAATTAATTTCAAAGAGTCCTCAAAACTTTCTGAAATTTCACTGCAGGACTAAGGGGGTAAACTGATATTAATTCCACAAAGAAAATGACCCTATTGCCCCTCATGTGAACAAGTATGGGAGAACCCATTTGCAAGTGAGGTTAGATAATTTACAACATGCATAGATATATTTACAATTAAAATTAGTCCATTTACATATTACCTTCTTCACCTGAAGAATGTGTTTGAGTGAACAAATGTGGGACAGCCCATTTGCAAATGGGACTAGATAATTTACAACATACATATATTTATTTACAATTGGAATTAGTCCATTTACATGTCACTTCCTTTACCTGAAAAAGGTCTCCGTGAGTGAACAAGTGTGGGAGCGCTCATTTGCAAGTGGGATTAGTCAATTTACAATGTACATACATTTATTTACAATTAGAATTAGTCCATTTACATATCACCTCATTCACCTGAAAAAGGTGCCTGTGAGTGAATAAGTGTGAGAGAGCCCATTTACAAGTGGGACTAGTCAATTTGCAACATACATACCTTTATTTACAACTGAAATTAGTCCATTTATATGTCACCCTGCAATAAGTATTATGAGGGGCAATAACGTCATTTTCTTTGTGGAATTAATATCAGTTTGCCCCCTTGGTCTTGTAGTGAAGTTTCAGAAAGTTTTGGGGGCTCTTTGAAATTAATTGTCTTCTGCGGTCCTACAGTGAAATTTTCCCAAAATTCAATTCCAAAGAGATCAACTCATTTAAACTTAATTAAATAATAGTCACACATTTTTAATATTTACATGTGGGGGAATTTTGTTCCCCTATGTCATTCTCACATTACTCTGGTCAAAACTATGGTTTGGTTAAGAATAATAGATTTTTAAGCACACGCTTAATCTTTGACTCGAATTGACCTACGAAACTCATTTGTGGCAGATGGGATACCCCAATTCATGTGGATGCAGCGAGTGGTGGCTTCATCGCACCATTTATATATCCAGACCTTGAATGGGACTTTCGCTTGCCACTTGTGAAGAGCATCAATGTTAGTGGACACAAGTATGGACTTGTGTACGCCGGAATCGGCTGGGTCATTTGGAGAAGTAAGGAAGATTTGCCTGAAGAACTCATCTTCCACATCAACTACCTCGGAGCTGATCAACCCACCTTCACCCTCAACTTCTCCAAAGGTTAGTCATTAATTTAACACACACCCAAATCCCTCAAATTCTCACCATCTCATTCAATGCAGGTTCCAGTCAAGTCATTGCTCAGTACTACCAGCTCATCCGCCTGGGCTATGAGGTACTGGGACCAACCCAAAGAACCACCATTTGTAAGATCGGAGCTGTAATTTACGTGCGTTGACTGGTTATATGCAGGGATATAGGAATGTGATGGAAAATTGCAAAGACAATATGATAGTGTTGAAAGAGGGGTTGGAGAAAACAGGGCGCTTTAACATCATATCAAAAGATGATGGAGTGCCCTTGGTGGCCTTCACCTTGAAGGATCGCAGCCACTTCACGGAATTCCAGATATCTGATTTCTTGAAGCGTTATGGGTGGATCGTGCCGGCTTACACTATGCCTCCAGATGCTCAGAACGTCACCGTCCTCCGCGTCGTCATCAGAGAGGACTTCTCACGAACCTTCGCCGAGCGTCTCGTCATTGATATCCAGAAAGTCTTGCACGAGCTCGATTTGCTACCTGGCCGGGTCATCGAGAGCACCACCGTCAACGTCACGGCGGAGATGGCAGAAAACGGCAATATCGTCCCCAGAAAGAGTGAAATCGAAACCCAAAGGGAAATCACTACGGCCTGGAGGAAGTTCGTGTCCGACAGGAAGAAGATGAACGAGAAGATGAATGGCGTTTGTTAAATTCTTTCAACTTTCCATGCTTGTTTTCGTTTGTTATTATTGCAAAATTTTCACGTGTAGAAGAATGAATAAGGAGGACTGTGAAAGTAATTCTTTTTGGAGAATTTTAAATCACACACTGTTATTCTCACTTCATGAAAAGCCATCGGTACATATATTTATGTTCACAAGTACCTTTCAATTAAACCTTTTCTTTTTCCTTTTTATGAATTTGCTTTAACAAACACAAACACAAACACAAACCAAACACAATCCATATCAGTGCCTTGAATTGGAAGACAGGTTCCCCTTAACCACTGTGACGGCGCATGAAGCATTTGTTACTACATAGTTGCTTACACTCCCCAACAACAACCTGGAAAGAAACATTAAAGCAGGAAAATCACACACATTTAAGCTACTCAATGAAATCATATAAGTAGAATTATGAATTTTCCATGGGAAAAAAAAAAAAGAGATGATAGCATTACCTTTTGATGGAGCCTAATCCTCTGCTTCCAATTACAAGAGAGTCGAGCTTAAGATCTTCAGCAGCAGCACACAGCTTCTCCCTTGGATCTCCCCAATATACTTTGGCTACTACTTTTGCCTGTTTCAATTTCCATACAACAAAAACATACAAATATTATCGCATAAGAAAAGAAAGTTATATGATCAAAAACAGGGCAAGCAAACAAGGTCAAACAGGAATACCTCTTTGGTCTTTGATACAGTATCAAGGATGTCCAAAACTTCGGAGTCTCTCGCAATACCATATTGCTTCGTGAAATTTATCTCCTTCAACTCCTCCAGAGGCACCAGAGCTGCAAACCCAGAAAAATATTATTAACATTTCATCGAACATACTTGATCCAATAGCGTTCCGTTAGATAGGAACAGATTTGATAAATATTATAACTCTCGGATAGAGTATGAGAACGGAAAAATCCATTAGATAATGAGCTATTGGTTCTAAGCCATCTCTGGCCATGAATCAACAATTCGAAATGCTTTTTTTGCGTATTCTTGATAAACCAGCGTTTAGACATAGATGTAGAAGTATCTGTTTGGGAAGTAAGACGGGTACTTACGTGAACCAGTGTCTTCGAAAAGCTCCTTTCTGGTGTGATCAGACTCAGGAGGTTGAACGTTGATCAAGATGATGAGATCTCCATGGTCGATGAGATTATCGACGGTCCATCTGAGGGCAAGTTTGCTGGTGGGAGAGAAGTCCATTGCAATACCAACTCTGCGTGACTTCGCCATCTTCGACTGATGATACTGATGAGAGAGGAAGGATCTCTTGCTGTTATATAATGGCAAAATTGGCGGCTATACTGTTCGGCTAAATTATTCGTTGTGTCAGAATGTTCCTGAAAGGGCTGGAGACGCGAGGACAGCTATGATTCCATCAGGAGGTGGCTTTATTATTCATACAACAGAAACAGAGCTGCGCCCATGGCTTCATGTTTTATAATTATAACAGGTTAATTATATGTGCTTGATATTTATTTAATAAAACCTTAAACATATATTGAAATTTGGACGAAACCAAGTGAGATTTGAGAAATTATTTAGACAAAATAATTAACCAAACTTTTCTTAACTTTGTATGCCATATGTTTTCAATTAGTCTTGCATATTATTTTATTTATAAAAAAATGACTTAAGTGAATTCTAATATTTCATAGAAAATAGACATTATTTTAAAGAGATCTTATCTGATAAAAAGAATTAAAAAAGACGTATAAAAGGAGAAATCATCGGCGTTTGTCAAATGACTTTATGAGAGAAAGAAGGGGCAACAAAAAGAGCAGAGCGAAGTGACACCCAAGCTTTGCCTTCCGAAATCCGAATAGAGTAACCCAGAAACTGGCACACCTGTTTGGTGCTTCTCATCCCATTTGCCTCTCTATTAGTTGTTCAGCATCTGATTCTTTTTCCCTCCACTTTTTGGGCACTTTAATTTTGGAAAAAAAATCTTTTAATTTTAAATGTATCCTAGATAATTAATTTACAAAATTAATTATTTGTATTAAATATATATTGGTTTCTTATAATATCCCTTATTACTCTAAATAGAAATCTCATGAAATTTGATAAATAATAATAATAATAATAATAATAATAATAATAATAATTTAGATAACAAATCATAAATTTATAAGATAAAGTGAACTGGGATTCTATGCTTGAGATCAAAATAAATCTTTTTACTGATTTTTATAGTTAGAATTAGAGCAAGTAAATTGAATTACCAGGCATCACACTATGCCCCATGGTTCAAAAGATGCTTAACAAGACATTTATAAATTACTTATTCAGGAATGAGTTGCTTGTGATGAAAATTGGATGTATTGATTTAATCTAAAGATTTCCTCAATCTCTTTTCTTTCTTTGTCTTATTCTCTCCTTCTTTTTCCAGAGAAAATTATTCTCACTCTCAAATATATAGCTGGATTCCCTTATTGACAACAAAATTTGAACTTATACTTTCTATAAATTATAAAACCGAATCTTGTGAATGGAAATAATTTTGTTGGCATATCATACATCAACTCTCTCTTATATGAAAATGTAATATTTTTAAGCCTTTTTTTTTTTGTTTTGAGGAAACTAGTGAACAAGAGACACATGCACACCTAAACTTGGGATAAGGTAGAGGCAAACCCCGACAAAGTGAGATACAAGTTTTGCGCTTGAGGTGGAGTTGGACCCCACTTGAGGGGGCAGAAACATCCACGTGGCATTTTGTATTAGGATGAAGCACTGAGGATTGAGACGGCTCTTTGTTTCTCTCTGTCATATTTTGCCAACCCTGCCAAATTGAACCTTCTCTCATATTCGCCTCTGCTTTCCCTCCACTTTCCTTCCTCTAACAGCATGTAGCATTTAAACCTTCTTCAATAATGCGGATTCAATAATAGATAATGTCTCACATCTCATTCCTCTCCCTCTTTCATATTTTATTTTTAATTATGAAAAAGATGCGAAGTATATTTGCCTTGTTTTACATTACATTTTACACCAGTTATGTGATTAAACTTTAGTCTACAAGCACAAAATATAGTCCTTCCGCAAGAAAAACAGGGGAAGATTTGTTCTTTTTTGGTAGATTCAACTTGAATGCTTGTTCAAATCTATTTATGAATGGAAAGTCAAAGGCTTTTTCAGTAGGTTGGCTACTAGTAGAATCGAATAGCAGAAATCAATACTCAAAAACGTAAAGCTAGAATACCCTATTTTCAAATCTAGTCGGTAGCTTCTTTTGGTCCTCATCTTCCGGCGCAGAACAGCAACATTCAGAAAACCCTACCTACGACAAAGAAACGTAACGAATCAGAAAGAAGACAGTCGTACACCTCCTTTGAGTCTCTGCACCAAAGAAAGAGATTTCATAACGAATGAGAATCCAGGATAGTGATGCTTTGAACGTGTCCACTATTGTTTCTCCATTTTCTACCTTCCACCAGCCGCTTCAGACAATTCTGAGTGGTTTAACTTCTTTAATTTCGGTTATGATAAAATACCTCATTTTCATACTCAATAACGTCTTCTAAAAGTAAGATAGAAGTGCCTAATAATATCTCTGTGTCTATGTCAACGTAGAAGGAACAGACATAGATATGATTCTCAGAGACCTTGAGCTCAATCATGTAACTCTTGTTGTATAAACTAATCTAGAAGGCTGCACAACTTGGTAGATGAGTAAAAAGCTCGTGCTCATTTCTTACAAAAAAAAAAAGACCTTCCTTAGTATAATTAGACCAAAAACTTGTAGCCGTATTACATAAATATTAATAATTTAATTAATGTGGCCCATTTATTATTTTGCTCTGCATTGACTAATGCATGGTTAGGTAGGTGGGTATTTTCAGCGTTTCAAAGGGCCCATTACAATAAATTTCTTCGAGCCAAAAAGGTGAAATACAGTAGTCTTTTTGTTCACATATATGAAAGTTAAGCACTCAATAATTAACCTGCATAACAGAGGGCTGTGTCATACCTCACCAGCTAGTGTTCTCACTGCTCAGCCTCCATGGATTTGGAGTCTGAAGCCACTCATTCAGATACATATCTAGGTATTCATGCTATTGCAATCCATTTCGCTTCCCCTTTTTCACTTTTACTTGAGTTTTACTTGTTTGTAATCTTCATTTGCTTTATCCCAGATGCTGCAGCTGCAGAATCCTGGCTTTTATCTGATCCTACGACTGGGTACCTTGAAGATGCTATTTCTGGTTGGGGTATTTGGTGCAACAAAGAAAATTCATCATCCCACTTTCAGGATCAAAAGGTTTTATCTTGAATTTATGCTCTTTACATTTTCCTGACCAACATACTCCATTGCTGATTTCATGTTCTTGGAAACCTGATAACCTTGTTGATCATTTACAGGAATCACTTTATTTGGATGACCAGATAAATCTATTTTCAACTTGTTCTGCCACAACAACCCAAGTCCTTGATAGTAAGCCCTTCTTTCTTCTTCAGTGTTACTTCGTTCTGAGCAATAACTCATTGTTGATGTTCATGAGACAATTAATTGGTCTGTCTTTGCCGGTTGGGAAGGGGTGGTTGTTTTCTTATTCTGTGGCTTATATTCCTTGCAATAAATGATCAGCCTAACATTTCAGACCTGTATTTTACATGTAGTGGAAACACACCCTGCTACTTTTATACAATAACAGTAACAGATATACAACCTCACTGTCATAGTGTCATTTATGCTAATTATTACTTTGCAGATAGTCGCGAATTGAACATTAGGGGTCAATCATCAACACAGAGTGATATGCATGGAGCAATAATCAAAGATGACAGTTCTCAGAGGAGCTGGGCATCTGGAGACTCAGATGAAAATGATGCTTCAGTTTCAAGTATCACAGAAATTTTTATCAAACACCTAAAGGCCATTATTTGATTTAATATTCCCTTATCCCACACATTCTTAATCTTTCTTCTTCCCTTCTTGTTCGAAAGATAATGATGCATTTTCATGCCGTGTCCAGAGAGTCAGTGGAAGAAAATAGCATACCCATTTGAGTTGGTGAAGCGTGGAGGAATGGAAGGTGAAACAACCCTAAAAGACATAAACGAGCAGATAGTGATGAGCCCAACAAAGCCAATTCCACATCCAGTGCCACATTCGATGACTTCTTCTGCGTCATCGTTTTCAGCTCGCAGTTTTGGTATGTCAGGGAAAGCAGTGGTAGCCCTCACAAGGATTCATACCCAAGGTAGAGGTTCCATTACCATTATGAGAACCAAGGGCTGAGTTCAGCCCTTACTCTTGTATGATACATATATCTGTATGCCTTAGTGTCTCTGTACAAAAACTCCAACCCAAATCCTGCATAGTTTATAAAGATGAATGGAGGGTTCATTAGATGCATAAAACTTCACCGGCGAATGCCTTTGTACCTCTGAAAAATGAAATGAACCGAATTACTATACAAGTTTTGAAAGAGGAGAACCAGGCCCTTCAAAATTGAGACTGTACTCACATAATCTTAAAGAAAAGGGTTTGATATTGCTGCTTGCTGTATTTTTAGGCCAAAAATTTAACGAAGTCTTACCCGAAAGCTTAAGATTTAATAATTGCTGACGTTATTTAAGTCCAACATATGTTTGAAAAAAAATGGAAAAAACAGCATAGATGTGAGTTGGTGAATGCGTAAGTTAGAGGATGCATGATCCATGAATGCCGCTTCTTCACTGATTCTAGTTATGTCCAAGTCGAACACTAGCCACTCGTAGTGCCCCCGCCTCTGATACTTTTCTCTAAAGGGTGTTTGATAAGTTATAAAAATGTGTTTGAAAAGCATTTTTTCGAGATAAATTTTCCTGTATATTTATTTTGTATATCATAAAATTACTTTTAAAACCATGATTTCATTTTCATCTAAGCACCCCTAAGTTTAAAAATTCCTCTTTTAAAATATTCTAATATTTATACACTGCATTTGTAAATGTAAAGTTTAATAAATTCATCGCATTAAATATAATTTATTCTTTGTACTCTTAAGGCCAGGAAAATTAGCCTGGTGCCATCTAACCCCAAGAGAAAAAAGTTTGCTCTAACAAACACCCAAACCAGAATAGATCTTAATCTACGCTTTTGCACAGATAGACTCAATTGATTTTTTTTTATGTTTTAATATTTATCATGTTGTTGATGTGATATATAAGGATGAAAATAACGCGTCATTTTGTTTTGTTTTCATATCAAGTACAGCTCATAATTATTACAATTTTTGAATTCATTGAGGTAGATTAAAAAAAATTATTTTTAAATTCGTTCTTCCAATGAAGGAGTGTGATTGGGCCCAATAGAGGCCCGGTCAGAAAGGCAGCCCGCAATTGAAGATTGAGTTCGCCGAAAGAATGGAACCGTAGCTGCCCTCATGCCCTGCCACGTTATTATTCTATTTATTTAATATTCAAAATGGAAGAAAATCAACGAAGAAAGATGAAATAAGAGATTTGGAGATCCTTAGTATGCACGTTTTGAGACTAAAAAAAAGATGGACGTATACGGGAATTAGTCAAAGTGGCGTTTTCTGTGGTGGAAAGATTAGGATTGGAATTCCAGATTTCAGGTCATATGGCACTAAAATCATAATTAAAAGAGCAATTTATTAGGCTACAAAACAAGAATAGAAGAAGAGGGTGGCGGTGCGTCTGGCCTGGCAGCATCCTCCAATTGGCGTGAACAAATAACGTATACAACACATAAAGAAACCATAAGTTAAGAAAAGTCAATTAGTTTTTGGGCTAATTAAAGCCCATTAAGAAACAAGATTATTTTTTAATGGGGATGGTTAACTAGGAGCAAGAGGGTGGAAAAATCATTATAAAAACACAAGGATATTTTTAAGGATAAGTTATAAATATTTATTTATTAAAGTTTTTTGAAAATTTAATATTAAAAAACAATGAGTATGGTATTTAGTCAGAGCATTGTAGAACCGTAACATTAAGCATTTTTTTCAAAAACTTCTTCTTTAAATATGAGATTACAAGTTTAAACTTTCTCAAGAAAATAAAAATAAGTGAGTTATTATAGGATTAATGTACGAATTTATTTATTATGAATTCGCCCGATCCAAGAATCCATTACCTCGTAACCGACCTTAGCATGTGTAGTGTCTTGATGACGAAAACCTGATCCTTAGAACACATTAGAACTATTTGGCATGATTTATAAATAGATTTTCAATCATGACGTATGAAATACGAGGTAAATATGTGAGAAAAATTTTGTCTTAGGTATAAGTGATTCCAATCGTAATCCCAATCAGAGTCACTATCTTCTACCATCAATGTATTAGTTTGATATTAAATATAAAACCCCAATTCACTTTATTTCTAATATTCATATAATTTTCTAAAGTAGTTATTGCACATGTTAAGTTTTCTTTAACTAGTAATTCTAGTTAACACATATAATCAATAAGGGTATTTAGAAAATATAATACTTATTTATTACAAATAATTAACTCAACAGATTTTTTTAATTTATTCAAATTAATCAATTAGCTCTCATATTAAGAACTAGAGCTAATATTTCTAAATGTACTTCGTTGTTTATTGGAATTACATATAAACTAAATACTTCTTCTTCAGTCTTTATGAACTTTTGTTTGATACTTAACATTAATAATTCATTCGATGTTTGATTTTGAAGGTTTAAAGAGTACAATCAGATTAATTAAGGTTAATTTAAAAAATATTATCATAATTTTTGGACCAATAAAAAAAATTTAAATATATTTTCAATTAAAATTGTCTGGTAAAATATTACTGCCAATTCAACTTTGCAAAAAATAAATTAAATTCTCGTTTGGTTGATTTGCACTTCTGTTGGAAGATTAATTTTTCAGAAAATATAACTTCCCATTAATTATACTTCCTAAAACTTTAGTACATACGATTTTTTTTTAATTTATAATCATTTATTTTATGAAAAATATTTTTTATATATGATGAGAAACAAAATACTAGGAAACCTATTTATGCATTATTCAGTAAGTTAAAACAGCAACTAAGCAAGACAAATGTTATTTGTCAAGAATTCAGACATCCCCCCTCCCTACTTACCTAACCAAGTGACCTCAAAACAATTTTTAAACATTATAAAATATTAATATGAATTTTATATTAATGAATTAATTTAATACAGCTACTGGTACTTTGGACATGAGTGGAAAGAAAAAGCCAGGTGAGAAACAAACTGTATCATTAATGAATACTTTTGGCATCTTACTACTTTTTCGAAGTAGAGTTATAATTATGTTGATGAGGAGTGAAATTAAAGTATTAAAGATATAAGATCGAGTTCGATCTATCAAAATTTCCATTTAATTATAGAATCCACATGAGATGAAACACGTCTGAAGGAGTAAAACTAAGTAGCCGATTCAAGTAAGTTTAGATGCTTAAGTGTATTATATCACTTAAGTATACGTAAAAGAACAATATTTAAATTAAGTTTTTTATATTCATCATATTAAATTTTTTGATCACATATGTCACGCATGACCACGTGTGATTAGAAAATTTGGTATAATAAATATAAAGAACTTGACTCAAACAGTTTTCTTTGTTAAATATCTCTATAGTCTTATTTATAAGATAGAGAGAGTAATTTCCTGCCTTAACATAAATGTCCCCTTAAATTTATTATATTGATGTTTAATTTTATTTCTAATTTATTGTTCAATAAATTTTAAGGGAGAATGACAGAAAAAGAAGCTGAAAATTACAAATCTCAAATCAAATTTGGTAACACAACTTTATTTGGTATTAACAAGTCTGAATTTACAAATGACAACAAATTTTTGTTGATGTTCCTTGTTTGGTATTTACAAAATTCCAGCTTCTTTTTTTGTGATTATCCCAAATTATAATCTTAATATATATGTATGAAATAATGATAAATTTGAAAAGTTGATTTTAAAATAGTAAAAAAAAAAAAGAAGTTTTTCTTAATTTTTACAAAATATGTTGAAAATTTCTTATAAACAACTAAAAGAGTTCAGGTAGATCTATCCATTATGAATCGAAGGTAGACTGGCATTGTCTTCATGCCATGTGCGTTAGGCACGTCCTTGCCATTGCTCATTAATTTCTTCGCAATTCACGAAGAGGATTTCCCACACCCTCTGAACCCACACTAAGTCAAATGTATATATAGGCACTGTGAAACGAAATCATCCTACTTGATTATGGTGAAGGCGTGGAGATTCCATTCTCTGTGAATTGTGTTGTTTTCCCCCACCACTCTCGCATGCATCTATTTGGCTAACCGCTCGCTACTGGCAGAAGCCATTGCAGAGCCTCCCTCGCTTCACTGATGGGAATGTCAGTGCCGTGTTTGGCTGACGCCATTTTCATTCTCTGCTGCTGCGTATCTCATGTCACATCTGATGAATCGGATCATCGTTACAAAGCGGGTGATTACGTTCCCTTTTACGCCAACAAGGTGGGACCCTTCCACAATCCCAGGTATTTCTTCATTTCAACCCCAATTCTCCTCGGACAAATACTGAGAATTTAACTTCGCACAGAATGATTTCCCCTGGAGTCTCTAAAATTTGAATTTTCAGTTTCTCGCCGGTAAATATATAAAGACGATAGATGCAATATCAGCCTGATCTCATGGTATGGATTTGGTCATGATCGTTCTAATTTTATTACTCTGAATGAATGGTGGCAACCATCAAATTAATGCGTGAATTCTGGTTCTCTTATGACCGCCAAATGCTTGTTATTTTGTGTATGAACGGATCAAATTCCAGTAAGTAGGAAATAAGTGCTGCGTGAGCAGCTCGATTTTAATTCTGACTACATCCATGATAGCTGTAAGATCTCAAACCTTGTAAGTTGACCTCTTAACACCAGATGGATAAAGGTTTGGTTTGTTTCTATTGCTAATTGCCATTGGAGAAAATGCAGGGAGTGTTTACTTTAAAGAATTACATTGACAATTAAAGGTATAGACCTTTTGTTCCCTGTTGAACTTTCATCTAGATTCATAATTGAATTTATATTAAGTCTTTTAATGCATTGATTTTCATTAAATAAAAGACTCCTAAATTCATTTTTGTTTGCATTAACTAATTCTCTAAATGAGAACATAAAAGAGATTGAAAATCTATCATCAGTGGGTAGCAGGGTAACAAACTTGCTGAAAAACTGGACCTCCAAGACATCTGAAATGCTTGATGGTTATATGACATATAGGGGCGCGTGTTTTCGTTGTATGACTGATTAAATTTTGTTCAAAAGAAGTGTTATATGTATTTCTCCATCACAGCGGACGACTTTCCTAATTTTTTTGTACTTCTCTTCTTTTTATGCCAACAGCGAAACATACCGATATTTTGACCTTCCCTTCTGCTTACCAGGTTGGTTTCCTGACAGAATTCATATTTGCTATGGTGGTCCTCCCCTATTTGTAATTGACAGTTGTTTAATGCAGCTCATGTTGAAGAAAAGAAAGAAGCTCTTGGAGAAGTTCTGAATGGGGATCGATTAGTTGTTGCTCCTTATACCCTGCCCTTCCTAGTTGATAAAGAACCCGAAAGTATTTGCAGAAAGACGCTGACAAAGAAAGAAGTTGCTAGATTCCGAGCTGCTGTCTTGAAGGATTACTTTTTCCAAATGTACTATGATGACTTGCCCATCTGGGGCTTCCTAGGAAAATTTGACACTGAAGAAGGCAAAGATGATGACCCCAAAGAGTCCAAAGTTTATCTTTTTAAGCATCTCCATTTTGAAATCCTTTACAATAAGGATCGCATCATTGACGTTATAGTTCGTAGTGACCAAAATGCCCTAGTGGACCTGACAGAGGACAGAGAGCTCGATGTGGACTTCACATACTCTGTCAAATGGATTCAAACAGATATTCCATTCGAGAAGAGAATGGAGAAATACTCGCAGGCTTCTACATTGCCACATCACTTGGAAATTCATTGGTTTTCAATCATCAATTCCTGCGTGACAGTTCTCCTCTTGACCGGATTCCTAGCCACGATTCTCATGCGTATATTAAAAAATGACTTTATTAAGTAAGAATAAATCCCACCAATTAATCTGTGCTTGCCTGCTCTCATGAATTGAATTCTAATTTATGACTCTGATGTAACCACAATTCTAAACATGATAGGTTTACACATGATGAGGAGGAGGCTGATGACCAAGACGAGGGAGGATGGAAATACATTCATGGTGACGTATTCAGGTACCCAAGATACAAGTCTTTGTTTGCAGCAGCCATTGGATCTGGCACCCAGCTATTTTCACTGTGAGTGCTTATCTTGGCACGATCCGGTTTTTTAACTTTCGAGTCGTATTTTTTCATGTTTTTCTTTAACATGTATCTTCGCTCCTGTTCTCAGCACAATCTTCATCTTTATGCTGGCTCTAGTTGGTGTTTTCTATCCATACAACAGAGGAGCTCTGTTTACCGCACTGGTTATTATATATGCTTTAACCTCTGGGATTGCGGGCTACGCTGCAGCGTCCTTCTATTGCATGATCGAAGGGAAAAACTGGGTAAATTCTCGCTTTTTATATGACGTGTCATTTGTGCTTCCAACACTTCCTTTTGCAGCTTATTTCAGTGCCGTACTCATGTCTCTGCAAGAATGTCACTGTCGGTTTTGCTCGAACATAATGTTGTTATGGACTCTTTCTGCTCCATGTCCAAAATGAAGATTCCAGCAAATGATTCTGAATTTATTCTAGTTTGCTGACTTGACACTTGATTCAACATGAGTCTCTCCATGGGTCACATTAATTACTTAATAAGACAATTTATTATGATGCTGTAGTTTTCCTCCCGGGGTTTGCATCTTCATAGCATTTGAAAATTCCTCTGCAGAAATTACAAATCCAAATGCAGCGTATTAACAGATAGAATTTTGGTTCTATGGCTTGCTAGGTGAGGAATTTGGTGTTGACTGGAAGCCTGTTCACTGGACCTTTGTTTTTGACATTCTGTTTTCTTAATACTGTTGCTCTGGCCTATAACTCCACTGCAGCACTCCCATTTGGAACGATTGTTGTTATTTTTCTCATATGGACTCTTGTAACTTCACCATTACTAGTACTGGGGGGAATTGCGGGTAAGAACAGCAGACCAGAGTTTCAAGCTCCTTGTCGCACCACAAAGTATCCCAGAGAGATCCCCTGTCTACCATGGTACCGGAGGACTCTTCCTCAGATGGCTATGGCAGGGTTTTTGCCTTTCAGTGCCATTTACATTGAACTCTACTACATATTTGCTAGTGTTTGGGGCCACAGGATTTACACCATATACAGCATTCTGTTCATTGTATTCATCATTCTCTTTGTTGTCACTGCTTTCATCACTGTGGCATTGGCATACTTTCAGCTTGCTGCTGAGGACCACGAATGGTGGTGGAGGTATGATTACTGTTTTGTCTTTTCCTCGCTCCTTTCTTCAAATTCTTTTCTATACTAACTTTGCATATCTGGGATGAAACTAGGTCCTTCCTTTGCGGTGGATCAACAGGCTTGTTCATATATGGCTACTGCTTGTACTACTACCATGCGAGGTCAGATATGTATGGTTTCATGCAAACCTCATTCTTCTTCGGATACATGGCCTGCGTTTGCTATGGTTTCTTTCTCATGCTCGGAACCACCGGATTTCGTGCTTCTTTAATCTTTGTCCGTCACATTTATCGCTCTATCAAGTGTGAGTAGCAAGAGATTCACTGGCTCCCACCACACAAGTTCTCTTTTCACTATTGTGAAGCTTAAATGTAGAAATTTCTCTTACATCTTATTGTTGCTAGAGATTAACTAAAGAAAATCAGGAATAGATTTACAAGGTCTCCATTGCTCAAAGTCTTTCTTCTTGTTTTTTTTTTTCCTACAGTATTTAATCAATACTTCTATCCATACTTTCAAAGTTGATATTAGAAAGTAGATTATTGATCAGTATAGTTGTATTAGTCAAAAGAATCGTTGGCAACACAAAAAATATGATTACTTCTCATTCTTCGTGCATTACCTTGTTTTTTTTTATATATAAAAAAATTTAAGTGAATTGAGTCCTGAAAGCTTATTAAAATTAGGATAGGCCTTTAGGCTCAAAAAACACTCACGGAGATACTCACATATCACTTACCAACGAATTCCTTATATCGGTAGTGAAATTAAACTCACATCATTGTAAATTACAAACCGATTCTTTACTAATTTGACCAACTCTTGTTAGCTACATTATATTACTTTCATCCTACCTATTTTGTCCTCTCAAATTCAAATGATAGGTCCTTCATTTTTGACTAATTGCACAGTAGAGAATGGATAAACAGTGACATACTCCTTTTGCCATTTTTTATAAGTAACTTTACACTCCATCACATAAATAAAAAAATAGACAGAAATTGAAAGTTCTTTATAAAAAATAACCTTATTTATGAAAAAGAGAGAGAATGTAAATGAAATAAAAATGATAGTTTGAAAAATGAGATAATAAATATATTGAATATTAAAATAAGTGATTTATTAGGGGCAAAATATAAAATTTGCTTAAAAAATTTTAAGATAACATGAAAATGTTTATATTTAGAAACAAAAAATAATAATAATTATTGCTCATTAAAAAAGACTGCTGAAAGAGTATACCGAAGACGAGGCACATTCCGACGGACCTTTCCCGTTTAAACTTTGGGACGTTGCACCCGCCCATTTTTGCCGTCCTCTTTTGAGTCAACATAGATAGAGATGACTTGTTAAGGCTTCATTGAGTTGCTTGGTTTCATGACCCTATCATGCGCCTCATTAATAATTTCCAACGTGGAAATTAGAAAAAAGCGGTAAAGTCCACTAAACGTTTTCTATGACAATGTCAAGGGCAACACAAAGAAGTATTTTCCGCAGCATCTAGGAATTAATCCTTCAAAACTTAAACAGCACCAACTTATGCATCAATCTTGATCCTCCCAAGGCCATTGCCAAAACACACGTTATGTTTTCCGATGGTGCAAAGAGACCCGGCAAAAATCACTTCCAACAAATAAATGAAGGCATGCTTTTTGCTTTCCAGACACCAAAAAATAGCCTTCCACCTACAATTTAAAACATGCAAAACATACCAGAAAGAAAATTATGATTAAATTTAGTATTACATTCTCCCCTCATCATGCTAAATATGATGACATAGATAGCGTTAGTCAGACTAAATCTCTAGTCAACAAATAGAGGCAGCTACAAAGGGAAAGGTCCAATATACTTTCTCGTAAAAAGTAATCCAACATTTAACGCACTTGGTGTTCCAAGAAATGTTTCAGTACTTCCAGGTGGAACCGCCAAGTCTAATTACCTCTTCACCACCATTATCCCTTCCAGGAATTCTGTCGTTGTTGACATCACGTTTATTATCACTTAAATCACCATAGATATCCTTTAGTTTAGCTAGATTACTGGAAGCAGATGTCTTGTCCTTACTCCCGTCCCTCTGTGGACTAGAATGTGACTCCAACCGAGCAGAACCAGCTTGCAAACTCCGACTCCTGCTCCTGCTCCGGCTCCTGCTCTGGCTTCGATAGTGCCTGCTACCATCATGCCTTCTATAGTCATAATCCCGGCTACTTTCTCTCTCTGCATACTTAGACCTCCTATCATAATCATAACTTATCTCCCTATCCCTTTCTCTACCCCTATCCTTCCTGTCTCTGTCCCTCTCACGATCTCTATCCCTATCCCAGTCTCGATACCTTTCTCTGTCTCGGTCCCGGTCCCTGTCACGATCATAATCCCTGTTTCTGTCCTTAGATCTAGAGCGATGACGGTCCCTTTCCCTATCCCGATCCCTTTCATAATCCCTGTTTCTGTCCCTAGATCGAGAGCGGTCACGCTCCCTTTCCCTATCACGATCCCTTTCATAATATTCATGGCTTCCACTATGTCGAGTGCTTGGAGATCTTTGTTCTTCACTGCCATTTCTCTCATGAGGTGGACCAGGTAAAGTGCGGCGAATGGGGGATGAATCCCTTGTTGAGGCACGATGTGGAGCCCGCTGACCAAAAGAGACTGAGAGGGCAGCCTTCACAGAAGGAGGTCTGCGGGCAGTCTCATCAGAACCATGGCGGGTGCATTCCCCAGTTGAGCCAGAATGTGTAGTAGGGAGCTTCAATTTCTCAAGATTAGACACAATCTGCCGCATTACAGGAACAGGGATGCGAGGAAAGAGTGTGTCAAAGTAGTACTGCAAAAGTAGAAACACTCATGAAATGGGGCTCAGGGTCAAAGTAAAATAAAAAATTACAAGCAAATCCCAAGGTTAAACAAAATTTAATAATTGTATTTGTAACATTCTAGAGAGTCAATGATGCTCGCATATAATGGCACCATGCTCGAATTGCTAAAGTTCATGATACCTGACAAATTAGATACCAGACAACAAACTACCACAAAGGAGATAGGAGTCATTCATCCACAACAAATGATAACCTCATGGACATGTATATCCAAGCATACAAGACAAACCGCTATTAGGTACAATGACAACAAATTCTTGAGCATGGGACGAGGGCAGTATATCGGAATTACAGGTTTTTTAATCTCTCTCCAGAATCCCTTCCATGAGCATGGTAATTAGACAATGCAGTTACTGTACAAGTTCCTTTATTTAAACAAAATGAATCCACAAGTTTGAACCATTCAATTTCCAATCTTCATGAGACTTCTATGGAAGAAAATGAAAGGGCTTCTCCTTTTTGGGATTTCGGCAATGCACTCTCCTAAAAGAAAATTAAAAAGAAAAACTAGGATCGCATTCCCCTTGCTAAAAGGCATCTTGTTGGATGTCTAAATAGCCATGTGGTAATGGTAGCATCTTGTAACTAAAAAGGTGGCTCACATTTTCTAAGCAAAGCAGTCATATTGAGGGCAAGAAATTCAACCAATTCATTTCCTATTACTTGTCTTTTTCTGTATAATAAGTAATCCTAAGAAGATGAGCCTTAAAGAGAATTTTATGAAGAGATGGACCTTCACCGGACCAAGAAGCCACAACTAACCAGACGCAAGATCAGACTACACAGCTATTGTGAGGCTAGAGCAGTTTGGACTGAATACGACAAGGCTTGCTTAATATAACTTGAAAAAAAAAAAACAAACAAACAAACAAAAAGCCGAGCTGACACCGAAATTCAACCTCAAGCTTAAGAATATAAAAAATATGCAATTAGCAAAATACAAAATATAAATAATTTAATATTTTTCATTCAAATATTTAAAAAATAATGAAAGTAAAATACAGAATAAATATTTACATATTTTATTCTATTTGTGGTAATTAAAAATTATTTTTATAATTATAAGAATATGTATTATTGAGAACTAAAAACGATTTAGTAATATGGAATTTTTTTTTTTTCAAATGAGAGAACAGAATATTGGGCGGGTTGGGCCGGATTTGACATATTGCAAGGAATGTATTGCCAACGGTTTCCAAGTTAAACAAAAATGCAGAGTGTATGATATGCAGGACATGTAAAATAGCCCCACTCCAAACAAGAGAAAACAAAAAACGAGGAAACCGCGTACAGGGAGAATGAACCAAATAAAAAACAAGCAACCACAAAATATTACTCAACTTCTTGACCATATTCAAATTTTCACATGACTGTAATGGAAGACCTCAGACATGTGTTTCTAAAAAACATATGGACGACCCTGCATATTAAGTCAGAAGAGCATTTAATAAACAGAGTTATGATGTACATGAAAAAACGACAATATCTTAGCTAATTCTAATAAAAAATTACTTGTAGGTATGTGAGTCTTATGTCCAAAAGATACTGAAAGCACCTCATAGGACCGTTACTCCAAATTATGAGATGATGAGAAACATAGCTTCTTTTGCAATCTTGGGATGCAGCTGGATTCTGGAAGGAGAGCTCTGAAGACAGAAATCTCAGTTTAACTAGTCAAAAGTAAGTCAAATGATTTTTCTTTTCCTTGTCATCGTATGGCATTACTTTTAAAAATCTCAATATCAAGAGATCAGGGAACACTTTGCTGACTATCATGCAAAGATATTTGATTCTACAAGCAAAAGGAAAGCATGAGACCGAAGAAATTAAAACAGGAAGCAACCTCATAAAATATAGTTTGATTTAGTTAATATTAACTAACCTGTCCAAGGAGCAAGTCACGGATATATACACCCATTGTCGTCATGCGTCCACTAGATCCAGGAGAAAATTCCTGACACACAGAATCATAATTGAATATGATATTAGATAGTAATTCTAACAGTGATTTTGCAAAAGGGGATACTTCGAGATAACAGAAATTCAAATGTAGAAAACTAGTAATTAGAGTCCATAATGTTCTGTCAAGAAATGCGATTAGCACAAAATATTCACGACAAGACAAATTGTGTAAAGTAAATTAACAGTATGCAATGCATAACTGAATCACAATCAGAGCAAAGGCCCAATCAAATATAACTTGATGGGAAAAGCAGACACCAAAAAGTACTATGGGCACAACCTATACAATGAATGTAAGTACTGAAGTCTTGACAAGTTTGTTCCAACCCTATAAGCAAATTTATCTTTGTTCCACAGCTACAGATCGGCTTAGCAGAATCAATAACTAGATAGTAAAACAAAAAAAAATATATCATACAAAATGTATGACGTCCTGCACACTGACAGGAACCTCTTCTACTTACAACACTCCAATGCAAGGCGAAGTCATACTTCAATTTGAAAAAAGACCACGGTTTGACAACTTTAATATTGTAAGCATAAAATCACAAGTATGAGGAAAAATTCACCCTTCGGAACAATCTGAAAGTAACAAAATATTCCAAGAGTTCCAAAGATCATATACAAGTCTTCATACCTCGTCATCTTTGATATATGGCTCAAACCAGTTCCACAGACTTTTTGGATCAGCAACATATCTCAAATAGAGAAATCCGATCTGCAAATAATATGAGGAAGAATATAGAACATACAATACACAATCAGGTCTCAAGGTAAAATTGCAAAAAATCTGACAATATGCCTACATCTAGCCTTAACACAAAATCAGGGTACAAGCCATGCTTAGCACAAAAATAAACCCACATCTAGTGTTAATGTGATTATAGGGTAAAAAATAGCAAGGATGCAATTTTTCGTGTCCCTAAACTAAGTACTAAACGGCATATATGGGGTAGTAAACTATTGATTCATGCTCAAAACAGGAAGAAAAACACACGCACACGCCCTTCATGATATTAATGCACGAAGTTTTCAGTAATTACAATAAAACAAAACAGAAAAGGCCAACATAAATTGCCGGGCACTATACTCACAGCTCTTATATAAGGAGAATCCGGGTGTTTCAACAGTCCATGCATTTGTTTGACGGTAAGCTTCATAGTAAAGAACTTGTAGAGAAGACAAAATGCAGTTGAGGGACCACGGCAGTTTCCCGTCATCCAAGGCTCCACGTGATCAACTTGATTGTAAATCTCATCAATAACTTCATGGTATGTCTTCAATCGATAGAGCTCCTTGAAGTAATCAGACGACAAAATATTCATGCAAAGGACTTTCTCAAGCAGAGAATCTATTGGCTTGCCACAACTTTGTATCTCCATGGTGGATGGCAAAATGAAATTAGCCCCCAGAATAAAGCTTAAACAACGTCAACTCTCACGAAGGATATGCAATGAAAGTGTCACGAACTCATTCCTGCAGCAAACCAGAAAACAAAACAACCATCCTCGTTCATTATAACACGAATTAGCAGAACTCATAAAGTGATTACAATTACAACATGGATTTCCTTTAGCTTAAATTCCATGGCACAACAACTTACAAAACACATTCACACAGAGACCAAAGTTCACAACTTTTAGCGCCTATGAAGCAAATAACTAACTATTAATTAATTTAGAGTGAAAAAGAAAGAACTATAATAAGATGGTTCATCGAAACCATTACCATGACAAGAAAAAAGCGGGGAGAGGCAACAATCTCAAACAAAACCACTTTTAAAACTCAAATTGTTAGAGAAGAGCAACTCCTACACCCCGAAAAATGAAAAGAAGAAGATGGCGAACGAGTTGCAAGGGAAAAGGTCCAGGAAGAACCCTAGAACGAAGAATTAAAAAAAAATGAAAAGGTCTTCACCAAAATTCACAATCGGGTACAAAATTGAACTTCGGATTTTTTTAATACAGCTACTGGAATGTGCAAAATAACACAAAATGCACATCAAAGCAAGTTCAAAAGCCAAAAGAAATTTGGACAAAAAAATGGGAACGCACCAAAAAGCACCTGCGGAAAAGATTTATTTCGACGACTGAAAGTAGAAGGACGGAGCTGGAGAAATGAGGTGAGACAATTGACTTCAATAGCGGCGTCGCGTGGATCTGCTGTTCGATTTGGTAATCAATCGTGGAACGCGACGGAGAGGGAATGCAGAAGGGGGGCTTCCGGTGTTATATGATATGACGTGGTGATGTCGAACCGGTCGAGCCAACTCGAACCGTCCTGAACCGAAACTCAGCCAACTCCGAAGACCGAAAGTCTACAACATAATTAATAAAATATTAAAAAAATTAGTTAAATTAATTATTTGTAATAAATAGGTGTTGTCTTTTTCAAAATATCTTTACTAATCATGTCTATTAATTAAAATTATTATTTAATGAAAAATTTAACATGTACAATTATTACAAATATTACTTTAAAAAAATAGATAAATATAAAAGACAAAGTAACTTAGAATCTTATATTTAGAAACAAATTAAATATCAAACTAACTCTTATATTAAGGACTGAAAGCAATATTTATTTCATAAATTTTTCATCTCTAATTTTTTAACTTTCATCTTCTGTAAATTTGTTTTTAATGAGATATATTATTTATTACAATAATTTTAAATGCATAAATTCCCCATAATATTTTTTAAATTCAAACAATTTTAATTAGTCAAACTAAAAAAATACGTTAATAATCACATTAATATTTAGTATAGTATATAACTCTAACTATAAGTACCATATTATTAATTTTATTTTTATATAATAGATTGATTTAATGAATTATTGATCTCAATATATAATCTGGATAGGCAAAGGTAATAGGTAATGTTATTAATTATTAATTAATTAATCTAAATGTAATGTTACTCTAATTTGTAATTATAGGCTTGTTTTGAGTTTTTGTGGTTCAAGAACAGGTATCCACACTTTATTCCAATAGACTCCACACACCAGTTCTCATTCTTTAGAATCAGTTTTATTACTCATTACAATGATGAGTACTATAATGCTCATCGTTATGATAAAATATACACAATTTAAATATGATTTTAATGGTATAAATTTAAGATTTTAAGTAAAAAATTTTCAATAAAAAATTATTTTTTGAAAAACTTACAGTCAAGAGATTACATTTATTTTAGATTATATATCTATTAAAGGAAAACATTTTTCAAAAATAAAAAATTTAAAAATTTAAATTTTGACTGTCCATATTAAATTTGAATGGGTGATATTTGATGAGTATTATGGTGACCTTTGTGACCTTCTAATTTAAGAAATTTGTGGTGGTTAATGCTGATGACTATATAAAATTTTTATATCTGAGCTAATATAATTCTTTCATCTATTCCTGGTTCAGCCATGCTGGTTCAAACTCATCAAGTAGATCAGAGAGAAGATCATCAGAGGAAGTCATCAAAAGCACAAAGCAATCTTTTATTGGATTGATACAATGAAACCATGAAAGGCGTCTTCACTTCACCTAAAACAAAGTGCAGGAGTAGTGGACCTAGTTGGTGATGATGGCATGGTATGGTACAAAATTCTGTCTACGTGGGACTAGTAGTGTACAACATGATGCGATTGAATACAACAAGCAAGGAACACAAAAGTACATTTTACATGGTCGCTTTCAATTCACACCCACCCACAATATCTCAAAAAGTTCGTTTCTACTTCACGGGCTTCATCATCAGAGCCGGATGATGAAACAAGTTGTAGAACTCATATCCTGGCTCGCAGCTCCATCTCTTGCTCAGGAAGCTTGGCTCTCTTGGAATTGTCAATGGCCTGCTTGATCTGCGTTATTCCAAATTATTATTACATACATGGGTAAATCTAGAACATCTATATAATATGCTTGAGGAAGCTGGTCCAAAAAAAAAAAAAAAAAGGCTTGAGGAAAAGCAGCATTATTCATAAACCATAAAACATTACCTTACGGTTTCATTATCTGAGATAGCTAGCATGTCAGAAAGTGTTTGTCGCCTGTTTTATTACCTTTTTTGGAATGAAAATGTCACTCTTTGTTACTATGATAATAGTTTACCTTTGAGGCAAGAATGGCCTATCAAAATATGGCATCAATTGAGCTCTTGGGACCATCTCCTTCCTCATCAAACGAACCTCTTCCTCTTCAATCATCTGCTCCCACATTTTATTCGTTCATTCAATAGAGAATTATGTTAAATAATACTACAAATTTGTTAATTTAACTACGCTTTCCAGTTGTCTACCTTCAGCAACTTCTCCTCTCGTTTCTTTTGGATCTCCATGAGATAGAACTTTGTGGTGACCTGCGCTAATTATCTCAAGCATTAATTATTGACCTGGAATCTATCTGGAGCTTTTTAACTTTCACAGATAGAGTTCAGTGATCTTACTGCATAGTTAAACATGGCACGTTTAACAGCTCTTTCTTGGGTATGGAGTTTGAACTCTTGTGGTTTTGTATTTTCTCTGGGAGGAGATTTCCTTGAAGCCTTGAGATTAAAGGGAAGAAATTATATATATATTTATATATATATATATATATATAAAGTGAATAACTTGACTGGATGAAGTTGTTACTGGTTAATTTCCATCTTGCAGCTATATCCTTACCTGCTTGTTCCTCTCGTGGAGCTTCTCTTTGAGTTCTTTTGTCTGTGAAACACCCATTGTCTGTTTATTTTATTAGGTTATGTGAGACAAATGATTGAAGGACAAAAAAAGCAAAACATGAAAGGGGTTGATAACATATCGAATCATGTCTAGATAAGAGAGAGAGGAAAGAAAGCATGTTAAAGCTAATCAATAATGAATAATAATGCTGTAATAGGCAAATGCACTTGTCTTTTCATAATGGGGTCCATCCAGTGGATATATACTTGATTAAGCCTGGAAAGTAATTGCATGGTTCGACAGACTAAAATTAAGTGGAAAAGTTTCTTGGTGAGAAGTTTTAAAAGAATGTTACTTTCTCTGCTTAAGAGAGAAGGAAACATGCTATATCTAATTCAAAACCCAAAAGTTTTCGGCCAAAAAAAAAAAAAAAGTTAACTTGTTATTTAAAAAAGAAAAGGATAAAAGATACGCATTTAACTGTTATATTCCATTTGTGTCAGACTTCAATGTTTCTGGCCTTCTCAATTATGGCCCTTTTAGAAAGCTCTTATTGCTTGCGGTACTGATACTTTTCAAATAATTCAATTCACGAAATAATAAGGACATTGAATAAGAAACTCCATGGTTAACATGGATATTTGGCCAGCATGCAAGGGATTATGCTCAGATATAGCACAACGCAATGGTTTCTCTCTCTTTCATATGCATCATTAAAAAATGAAGGTGTTGACAGTTGACAGTCTCACAACTTGGGGACTGTAGGATAATAAGAAATGTTTCAAACCCTCTTTGCATGAAAGTTCAGCTTTCACGGAAGAATATCAACTAAAGGTCAGAACAAGAAAATGAGTGGTTTGTAAGAGATTATTGGGAAAGGTAGAATGAGCTAGCTGTGGCATTGGCTTCTCACCATTCCCCTAGAGTTTGCATTGCTCCATTCAGCAGCAGACCGTGAGGTATTCTTCACAAACTTCAACAACAGAAACAATAAGGAAAAATGCAGAAAGGCGCGAAGAAATCAGTACATGATATTCCATTTGTAATTAAAACAGAAGAGAAGAACAACATATAAGAAGAAGAAGAAGAGGCATAATCCTAAACCTTCAAAGCAGACTTAGTGTTTGCTTTCTCCATTTCAAGTGGATTTAATTTGATGAGGGTGTAGCAAGTACTGGGATGGGGGCTATATATAATGGAGACTAAGTTTGGAGGTTAGTGAGTGTCTGGAATTCTTTCATTTCTGTTGCTACATCACCAGCATGCTTTTGGATTTGCATGCTATCTCCTACCAAACTTTCTGATTAAACCTCCCTCTCACACATATATTTGTCAAAGCCCTTCTATGTTCCTTCAAAATTCCTCTTGGCTTAAGTAAGACATATTCACTTGTTCCCACGAGTAATTAATATAATCTAAGTACGCTGGCACGACAAGATGAAGAACACTAAATTATCAGTTGGTTAAGTGGAGGCTTACCAGCCTACTAAAGTAGCCACTTTAATTAATAAGTAAAACTAATGATTGTTCCTGCATATAATTACAAGGCACACAGAAGTTATTAAGAATTACTTAATAGCCAAATTTAGTATTAACTTCTAATTCTAATTCTAATGCTTGAGGATTCAATATGGCATTAAATATGTAAGATTTACATATATTGAGAACTTTTGTAATGCCATCTAACCTGACAATAGTGTTTCCTTGCTTGGGTTCATAGTCATCAAGACCTAAGGAGTAGGAAGAAGAGTGGAAGCAGGGATCAAATTTTTGACATCAAACACACGTCAATCTTTCAAGTTAAAGACGATGCCATTTAAATCATCAATACAGTGGTGTATTGTATTTTTCTTCACCCATTGTGATCATTATCTTACTGTGAATCCTCTCTGGCTGAGTCGAATGAGCAATATTATTGTTTTTTCATCCAATATAAGTATGTATACATCCATCAAGTTATCCTGGGGTATAAACACATATATTATCAGACTTTTTAATGTTCTTCGTATCTCTGTCAGATTTCAACCCAAAATATTCAATATGCCAGATGTTGTTTGGTTTAAATAAAGAAGTAAACTTGAATTTGGAGAGGCTGATTTTTATGGAAAGCTGACATACATAGGGATGACCCATTAGTTATTACAGTACCTTGTGTATTAAATACTGAAGTGCACATAGTGAGCCTGCCAGTCCCTTTCATTTTCGGAGCAAAAGACGAGTAAGCAGTATTGAAAGTGCAGAAAGAGATGACCAAAAGGTTGTTAATAGCAAGCTTTCAAATGTTTCTTGTTGAAGCCGTCAACCCAACACGACACTGTGTCATCCATTTAACATTTTGTGGTGGCGTAAGCAAGACATAAATCCAGGTTCATGCTAAGTAATGAAAGCACACGGGCTGATCTCTCTCTCTCTCTCTATAATAATAAAATCCACGAAATTACATCACCGTTTGTTGGTTGATTTGAAACTGATCTAGTACATTTCATTACAGTCACCCCTTTTATGAATTGTAATCAATGATGGCTTGTGCCACAGGCAATTCCAAAATAACATTATGTTTGAATTTGAATTAAATGCTTCAAAAGTGACAGCTCAACAACAACTATATCAACCAAGAGTAGTAGTATACTTATTTCTGCATAAGACAGAAACTGTTAAATTGGTCCTCTGCACATGAAGAAAAATATTCCTTACATGAATCAAATCCAAGTTTGCAGATCAGGATTCTGTATTGGACATGAATGGATTGGTGTTTCCGCTCAAATAAACAGTCTGAAAGTAAATAAATGTACAAGGGATTAGTGAATAGTTCGTAAAGTGGTATTTGTGGAATGAAGTGGGAAGTGTGAAAGAGGGAGGATTGAGATTGGGGTCGGTGTCAATTCCACCAGGGGAAAGGGAAAGAAATGACAAGGGAAAAGGTGGGTGATGGCTAGCTTTCAAATGTTTCTTATTGAAGCCGTTAACTAAATGAAATGAAATGAAATGGGAGTGCAAAAATAAGAACTGTTATTGGGGTAAGCGAGATGTCGTCCAAGTCGTTAGGTTGTGATTCGAAAATCAACCTACTTCTTCCTCCATTCATGCTTCTGCTTCAAGGTTTTATAAAAAGCTACTATCTTTTATCCTCAGTGTAAAACCTAGTTGATAAATTTGAAAAGATTAAGAAAGTTATTAAATTACTCTAAAATATTAATATTTATTGTTTTTCTCCAAATTAATTTATCTCACTTCTAAATTAATGTATAGTATAATAATACACATAAGTATCTTAAAGAGATTATATAACATATATTATAATTGAGTAATTTAGTAACCTTCTTGATTTTCTAAATTAATCAATTGAGTTTTATGTTAAAGACTGAAGATAGTATTAGAAGAATAATCATGGTAAAATCCTCTCATGACACTGACTTTAACTGTTTAATTAACAAATTACTGTGCCTTTTTTTCCTCTCTTCTCATTCTTGACTACTGAAATGACCTTGTCTTAACTTAACTGAATGAACCTATCTACTCCCAAATTCCCTTCCACTCAAACTACTCATAATATCTCCTCATCATGCAAGGAATCTGCAACTTGCAACACAAGGCCCCATTATTGATGATGATTATTGACCCCAAAAGCATAGCATTATATAAAAGCTGTAATTAATAACTTGATCTGTGTTTCTAATCACACAATCTTATCTACTCATTTGATCTTTTATGCGAGTCACCTTTTTTAATAGATTTATTATAATCTAAAATGGAAGTTGTGGTAAAGTTTGAGAAATTTTTTCTTTTGGTTGTAAAAGAGGGACCGAGCCCAAAAAATGACAAAACTACCTGGGTCATCCAAGCCCAAGACACGTCTGGTCTCACTCAAATCCCCACACTCAACTCTCAGTCATAGAGATTGGAGAAGTAATGCAACAGCTCATCTCAATTCTCCCGGCTATTCCCGAAGCTGGACATGACTGGTGTGCTCATTCTCATGCTTATTTTACTACTAAAAGCACTTATTATATGATTGAAAAACCACCTCCTAATCTTTACAGTTGAAACTACAAGACTATTTGAAAATAGAGAGGAGCAGAGAGAACTAGAGTTTTCCTTTTGATTGCTTTAATAATAAATTACCCACTAATGATTGGAGAAGTAAGTGGTCCCAAACTTCATCTACCTGCCCTTATTGTGATGATGGTGTTGAAACTACTGTCCATATTTTTAGAGATTGCTTTTGTGCTAAAAATTATGGATTTGTATTTTACGTCTCATTCACTATTCTTAATTTTATGCTGCCTCCCAACGAGACTAGTTTACACTGAACTTCAAAAAGATCTAGGCAATTATAAGTGTCCTAGCTGAAATCTTATATGGGGTGTGTCTGTTTGGTATCTATGAAAATGGAGAAACTGTTTTTTACATGATGCTAATTTCCAAAAGCCAATTAACCCTGCTACTATTATTCTAAGAAATTGGAAGAATTTAGTTCAACATAATAAAACAGAGGATGTTCAATTTTCTCCTGCGCCATATGCTCCCTTAATATGGAATTTGATAGAGAATCTGTCTTTCGAAGAGTTTGTGAATTAGTTTCACATATGCCCTTCTTATATGTATTAGATAGAGAATCTGTATTTTAAATTTATGTTATTGATTAAGGAGAAAGATTGATTAGAGCAAATTTTAGACAATTTTCTTTATGTAATTAGCTTTTTAACTAAAGCAACTTATAACTGGACTGAGCATAGGAAATCACCCCCGGGGGGGGGGGGGAGAAAGCAGGTGCCAGGGGATACAACGGAATAATTGCACGCAGGTTCCTCCCTCTCTCTCTCTCTTAATGATTTAAAAAGGGTTTTCTTATTATTTAGTAGCAGTACTTAGTAATATTATAGTTGTCCTTCACTTACAATTTTTTTCCTCTTTTTTTTCCCTTCTTTATTTTACGCACACCACCTTTTACACATGAAGAGTCCTTCACTTGCTCAATTGACAGGTCTTAACAAGAGGGGGTTCAAGTGTCTGTGATTCTGAGTTTCTGTCAAACTTCCACCGCAACTGATTCATGATTCTTCCCAGGCGCTAGAAAAATAGTTTTGAGGCTTCAATTGCCAGCCTATGAAACATGAATCACCTTAGGATGAAGAAAGCGTCAAAACATAATTAAATATATATTTTAGAGATAAATTCTTATTATTAACGTGGTAAAATTAAATTGTGAACTATAAAGCAAAGATTTTTTTCCAAAAAAAAAATAATAATATATGATACTACCTCCAAGACTTAATACTAGCCCCAGTTGTTAATATGAGAGTTTATTGACCAATTTGAACATATTAAAAAAATTATTTAAATTAATTATTTATAATAATTAGGTATTGTTTTTTTTAAATACCATTGGCAATCATATGTTAGTTAGAAGTAGCATTTGATAAAATCTTTAACATTTGCGCATTATGGTAGTTGTACATGTTAAAGATTCTATCAGATAGTAATTCTAACTAATATATATGATTAGTAATAATATTTTAAGAAAGATAATACATATTTATTATAAATAATTAACTTAATAAATTTTTTTAATCTATTAAAATTAGTTTTTATATTAAGAAAGAAAGTAATCTCTTACTTAAAAAAAGAAAAAAAGGAAAAAAACTCCAGATGAGGGTGGTAAAGGCGCGGCTCTTCGAATCGATCTTCTTCGATATTCTAGACTATGCTGGATACTTCCGTAGTCTCAGCTTCGTGGCGGTTCAATTCCGATGCTACATTCTCAGGCTCCTTCGCTCGAGTGTCTTGAGTTCTGAAGCAGCCCCGCCTTTGATCTTCCATTACAGCATTGAACCAAAATGTTCGGAGTTGTATTTCCAAACCGCAGCTTCCCAATCGACATCTCCACTTTCTCTCAAATCGACACCTTTCACTGGCTCCTCGACATGAACACTTTCGTCGGTAAGCTTCACGACTTTCTCCCGCTTACCGCTCACTGCGTACATTAACTTAATCCCATTTCAATCCCATTTCTTCCCCAGTTTTCCCCCCTCAATTTTAATGCTTTCTGTTAACTTGCGCAGGAGAGGCGTACGATCAAGTTCGCGAGGTTTGCATTTTCCTTTTGAATAACTTCACACTTCCTCCCGACAAAGCTCTCGCCGTTTACATCCAGTCGCCGGGTTCGCCTTTCCTTTATTGCGGGGCTGTCACGATAGCCCGCCCGTCCGCCGTGCTCTCGCTGCCATGGCCGGAGCCTGGGGGTTCTGGCCAGCTACAGTTGACGGCCGACGCGCAGCCCCTCTCGGCGAAAATTGGAGTCTCTGTCGAGGACCTGGCATCGTTGCCGTCCCTGGACGTCACCGCCGAGAAGCGAATCGAACGTTTAGCATTGAAAGTGGGTGAAAATTTGTTCAATTTTATGCAGTCTTTTTGTGGGGTGGATGGGTCCAAATTGGTCGTTCCCATGGATATTCTGGATAGATGGTTTAAGAAATTCCAGGAGAGGGCCAAGCGTGATCCTGAGTACCTGAAGGGTTTCGCTTTGTGAGCTTTTGCAAAATTGTAGGTCACATTGAATTCATCCCTATGTAAGCTGAATATTTTCTTTTTCGGCCTTTTTTGTGTTATGAAAAGAGAGGAAATCAAAATGCCTCTTGTGGTGTGCTTTTAAATGTATTCTCGCCATTCTGATTGATTGCAGTATAGGGCGTCATACTGTTACTGAAGTGAACGTATGCATGACACAGCCAAAAGGAAAATATTGTTGCAACATAAGAACAATGGAAAGTGATCAATAGTAGCATTTCACGATATTTGAAGTAAATTAGACGAACTCCTGTTAGGCTATATCGATGCAGCGAATTCGTATTCTAGATTTTCTGGAGAATTCGTGGTCCAAGAAAAACTAGTAAACATAATGCAATGCTTTGATAAATAGTGAACAGAAATTTGAACTTATCTCTGAATCCCTATTGGAGACTTATGGTGAGTGAAGCTTGTTCTGTTTCTTGTGCGTTTTTTGGTAGCATGATGTCATTTGCATAAAAGCATCTTGCTTTGGTTGCTTTATTCACTGATGAACAACTTTTGGTATATGTCTAAAATGAAGGATCGTAAAGCCAAAGAAAGTAAAGATGGAAATTAATGGTTTCTGGAATCAGTAGATGCTGTGAGTTGTGATAGGTGAGGAAGAGTTGCAGGATTGCTCAGAAGCCGCAATACACTGTATTCTTAGGTGGCATGAGGCTTGCGTGGATCCTACTATTGGAAAAGTCGGTCCAAAAAATGAGACTAGGATTTGTGGATGATTTGGTGGAAACCATGTCAGAGATCCTAGAAGAACCCAAACACAATAAAATTCACTCAGTTCTATTTTGTTTAATTGGTTTATAGTTTCCTATTTTATGTCATTTTGGTATCAGCATTGGATAGTTGCTAAATTGTAGCTGCCTTGGCTCTATTGAAGGCACGAGGTTGACAAGAGGCCGTACTTGTCTCTTGATGAATATTCCCTTGAAACTTTTGGCGTCTCGCTTAGAAACGGAATCATGCTGCAAATTCGGAAGACGGGCGTTGGCAATTCCTTAATCCTGCAGAAATGGTGTATTAACGGGCAGATGCATCTTTCCTTTATTCTGAGCTGATTTGGGAAGGATCACAATCCTTGGCAGATATAACTTTTTTTTTTTTTGGCGTTACGGATAGCAAAATATATTTATGACCTGAATGGGCATGTAGTTGTCCTGGCGATTCTATTGACACAAGATGATGGGCTAAGCCCAATAAGAAAGTCCAGTAAGCATGGGCCTAAGATACAATGCAAATGCCCAAGCGCATATTGCAGCTCTTAGGGGGGGATCTTAACACGGCATAAGGAAACATTCGAGCAAACATTTGTATCCAAAAAAAAGGAAAAAACATTGGAGTAAACATAGTGGATTCAAATCCTAATTAGTCAAGGCCTTCTCAACCTTCTTCACATATCCCCACCCTCAAATTTTTTTATCTTCTCGCGTTATTCTCAGAGAAACATGTACGAAAGGAAAAATCAAATTAAAGCGTGTCTTCTTTTTTCTCCGTTTCTTTGTTCAAATTGAAATATTTCCGAAGTCCCTTATAAAAGTCTAACGTGTGAAATTATTTGAATGCAATATGTGAGTTATAATTGATGTATAATACAAATACAAAACTCCACTTTTATTTTGGAAGCTGCAGTTGGGACCTCACTAGTGGTTGCAGAGTAAGAATGAAAACGGGAAGATCTGACAGCGGCAGAGGCTATGAATGCGGGGAGTTACTCAACCGGCTCAGTCAGTTTTGCTATGGACAATGTCAGAACTCAGAAGCCCCCTTCGCCCCTCTTTCTCATTCTCCGTTTGGAACCCAATTGCACCAAAATTAACATACTAGTAATATTTATTATATTTTCCTAATTAATTATCGTCTAATACAAACCCGACGAGGCCTTATTTTCAAGAATTTTAAGTCTTTTCCTTTCTTGAAACTCCACTCAACCTATAGGAGTTGGATATAGCAGAAGGAGCTAGTCCCTCATAACGTGACTAATCAATATTTAAATCCCTGTTGGTTAGTACCTGATAGTGCCTCGAATAGGATTGTCTCCAATAAAAAAATACCTATGCTTTAGTCAAAAGAAAAAAGAACTCCATTCATACTATGAACCTAACTAAAGTTTCTTAAATTTGAAAAAAATTCGTCTAAAATCACCATTTCTCAACTAAATATAGCACAAATTTGGTTTATATTTTGTATTAATATTGAAAAATGGTGTATCTCTGTAACCAAGATGTGAGTACTGAAACGTGAGAAAGAGACAAATTCCAAGCCTTACAGTACTAATAATATCAATTTTAGATCATTTATTTGCACTACACACACACGACAGTGACTAACTAATTGCTAAATAACTGAAGTAACGTTATGACACAGCGAACTTAACTAGCGGCAACAAATCATTGGGTTCTTAAGCAATACACAACAAACAGTTAAAAAACTACCATATGACCAACGACTATTATTATTTACAAACCTGGAGTTCTATATTCATCGAAATCACCTCTTACTATTATTAAACTTTTGCTGCTGTTAGTGTTGATTAAGGTCTAGTTGTGATGCAGCATAAGTCTATGTAGGCTATTCACTACATATAAAACCCACTGATGAAGAATGGCTTCAAATCTCGTCCTTTGTTTGTGGGGAGTGTCAGAGTTGAAAAAGTGAAAGTAAAGTTGAAAGATGCTCATTCTCTCTCTTACTTTTTACATATAGAGGTTGAAAATCAATCATAAACCAATTGATTACAAAATCATTTACTTCCATCTCACATCAACGCCTTCTTTTCTTTTATGTTCTTTTCTGCCCACCCAGAACAGTACTGTCTACTCTCCTAACAACTGCCCACTAGGTATTCGTTGTTCATTTATGTTTTCGATGAGGCGTGAGAGGCTTATATATCTTTAGGGTTACCATCTCCCTCAAAACCAAGCCATCTTCCATATCTCTTCCTTCACAGACACTCTCAGACGCCTTCATATGTCATCTTCAACGTACTCTTTTGGTCCTTCTATATCTCACTCCTGACCCGTGCCCACCTGTAGGACTCCCCCAAAATGTTGTCATTCTTCTCAATTCAATTCTTACTTTATTCTTTCTCGCCCTAAAATTTGGTATTATCTCAGCTGTAAAGAGTTTATCCCTCTTTTCTTCTGCATTATTAGCACACATGGGTTATTGATATTGAGATATATGAGATATTAATGTGTTTATGTATACTTCATTATGTTATAGAAGTATTAATTAGTGAAGTAGGATTAAATAGTGGTTGCAATGGTGTGATTTGATTTTTTGGGGAGATGGTGGTTGGCTGACTAGGGAGGTGCAAGTGGTGTACATTACATTGTTCTTTGCCAGGCTTTCAGATTTCAGCCTTCAATTTATTCTCTTGTCAAATATTTGGACCCCATTTTCCTCCTCCTTTAATTCCTTTCATGTCACACACCAAAAGGGGACTTTGACATGTCTTTCTTCCCATTCAGTTTCTGCGCTTTCTTTAAAAGTTAATCAATGATACTACTGTTGATTTTCCACCTTTCCATGACTTTTACTTGTTAGCTTTTTTGCGTCTAGGTCCTAGCTCGCTTGCTATACCTACTTAAACTAGCCAACTATACATTCTATCCCACAAATATAGGCTAGCTTATAGCTTCACTAGATATATGTTTATGATTTAACAATTATTTTAACCTACAGTGGTCAAACCCCTCATTTTATGGAACTGTTGGATTGAATTGGAATCTGCAGGATAAGAATGTCCTGGGTTATTCCACCAGCTTATTGTTTACTTCAGTGCCATGAACTTTTACTTCATGGGGCCAAAATTTTATTAATGAGATTTGGAAAAGGTTACTCCTAATTAAATTTTTTTACAGTAGTAGTTTAAACCCTAAGTTTAAATCGTCAGCGGTATGACATGGAATTTCTGTGCTTCAAGAGTGGTCGAGAAAGCTTGCCCCCTTTTGTCTTGTTCCGTTCCTGTGAATATGATTATTTATGAATATTTATTTAGCATTTTAAACTCTTTGATTAGCTGAACTATTCTCTCCATGAAAGGGATTCAGAAGTTTACGTTTCAAAGCTGAAAATGCAACAATGGGTCCGTTTGGAATAGCGATTGGAAAAGCAGCTTATAGAAAAAGTAGCTTATGAAAAAGTGAAGTTGGTAAAAGTTAAATTGGATAAGTTGAATTGTGTTTGGATTGGAGTTCAGACAAGATAGTTTACAAAAATGAGATTGGAAAAAGCTTGTTTGGATTATAGTTGAGTAAAAGTAATTTTGGCTGAAAAATTATCAAAATGGGCATGAATTTTAATAAATAATGAAACATGATTAAAAAAATAATTTCACATAATACAATGAAATTAAAATAATTTAATATGAAGAAGTCATAAAAAATATTTTAAATATAAAGTGAAACATGAAAAAATAAAAGTATATTTTTAGGAGCATATTTAAAAATAAAAATATATTTCTAACTTATTCATTACTTTCAACTAATTTTAATTGATTTTTTATTATCTACAAATTAGTTATTTGAGGCTTATAATAAGAACCAAAAGAAGTAATAAATTTCTTAACTTTCTCTCTCTCCATATTTCAAAAGCCATAAGCCATAAGCTATAAGCCATAAGCTGTTAATTTTAGCTTATAGCTTATTGTAGCTTTTCAGACAAAAGCCCGATTGCAAATAAGTGTTGCCAAACAGACCCTACTTTTGTCAATCGAGCTTATAGAGCTTATAGAGCTTATAAGCTACTTATAAACTCCAAATAAGTGTTGCCAAACAGGCACAATGACGTCCTCCTAACAAAATCCATGTAATTATACCACACATCCCCCTTTCTCGCGTTCAGTACGTTTTCTAAGATTCCTTTGAAATTTTGGAATTATATCATAAATGAGAGTTGAACAAAGCCAGCTAACCATAAAGCAGCACAAATCAGCTGCAGTGAACGCCATGACTATTAGAGTTTACGTTAATCACATCCAAAAATTTGTCATTTGCACCAAAATAGCTTAATCTACTTTATATATATAGACTTATCACTCACTCACATAATTGTGATTAATCCTCTAATCACAATGTGAGACTTTAATTTGTCGTACGTTAAATAAGGGCCAATTCATCATGCACTAGTTAATTTAATAGGAACTACTTTTTGAACGACAGCTACAGATTGAATTCAGTGAGATTCTGTAAATATATTATAATATTCAGATCATCTGATTTAGC